TAAGGATTCTGGTAGTAATGATTTCAAGCAAGATTTGTTCAATTAACAGCTAGATAATTAGTACATGATAACTAATAAGGATGATCCCGAAACATAGCCTCATGGTCAACCTTCTGACCTATCACACATGTACTTGCCATTATTTTATAACATTTACAAAATACAATTCATAAATTAAAATCTATGCGTTCATATATACAGTACACTCATGCGTAACGATTAGTTAATACATGCTGATTATAATGAAGACAGCCCCAAAAAAAAAAAAAAATTACATCCAACTATGGAGATTACGTTACTTACGTTTGTTTGAATTGTAATTTGCATGTATTTCGAAGAGAGCGGATGTACAACTGGAGCAAGCAACGACCAAGTGTTTTTTTTTTATCTTTTGTTAATGGCTGCAAATAACGACGACCAAGTCATCAGAAGTTTATAACGAATATTTTTTTATTGTATATTCTTTAATTGATTGATATAAAAGAATGAAAGATACAATCATTCATCTACAAGACTACAAGTACAAAAGTGTATCTCCAGTCATTAGAGTTACTCTGATGCATCATTATGTTAATCTGGTGCTGGTGTTATGTGTGAGTGAGTTATAAATTAACAATTAAAATAGTTGATTCACGATAAAATTAAAATGATTTTAAAGAACTGAACATTGTTTTCATCAAGAAATGTGTGCACGAATTCAAATGTAGTTATATTAATTGAAGTTCTTAACAGTTTTAAATTGTTTTTGCATCTGTATAAGTTTTTCAAGTAATAAAAAAATGTATTTTCAGTAGTTTCGGAAAAGTAGTCTGGATTTCAGTATGAGAGATCTTTGATTAACATTACACATTAACAATTCCTTTTTTTGTAAGTTACAGCCTTACAGGAATTTATCTCACTAATAGAAAAGCCCTCAAATTTTCTTGTTAGGAAAACCCAAGTGAACCCAAGAACCCACAACGATAAGGATCTCAAAATGAATATCTTAAACATAAAAATATTTATTTTAATATAATTTAATACATTTAATTAAATTTTAATATTTAAAATAAAAACAAGTATATTAATGGATATTTCAAAAGTTCTCAAATGAAATACCTTAATAATATACCTTTTCCTATTTTTAGATTTTTTATTATTAATAAAATACCTTTATAAAATATATGCATTGAAAATGCTTTAAGAATTAAAATATATTAGTAATGGTGAAAAGATGGCTGATTTAGTTCAATTTTATTTACCTAGAACTCTAATTCAAAAAATAAAATCTCAAAAAATGGTGTAATTATAAATATTTTTATTGATAAGTTTTAATTATAGTATTTTTACATATGCGTTAATCGATAACAAAATTGAAATATAATTTCTACGTTTTTCATATAGAATGTTTTAGAATTATGTATATAAATTAAAAAACAAATCAATATAATATCTATTATAACTTTATTTATTGTTAGTTAAATTTTAATTTATTAAATAATATACAAATAAAATAATTATTCATTATCAATTTTTACATAAAATTTTGAAGACATTATATAATTTAAAACAAAAAAAAATCTAAACATCATACAAAAAAATAGAGAGAGTATAAGATAATGACGGCATCCGAAAATAATTATGCCATGAACTCCAATAAAAACAAATAATGGGTCAAACCTCTATAAAACTTCTTACTAAAAAAACTAAACATGGTAATAACAAGTGTTTGTATCTTTCCGCATTTTTGTCTGTTGCTTTCAAATTTTAAAGAGACAATGACCAACGTATCTTTTCATAATTTTAGTTGACCGACTTTTCTCCTAAAAAACATTTGTTTGACCCAAATTGGTTATGTTGATTTACTCAAATTATTTTCATCACGTTGTTCTACAATCAGTCTTCTAGCATTTTTACCACCATAATTTGCTTTCCAGATTTCAAATTAGCACAGAGAGATGTTATCTAATTTCTTTGCTTAAAAATATGCTATCTAATTACTGACAAAGATTAGAGTATGTTCTAGCAAACTGAAATGAACTGAAGAAAAGAAATGTGTATCAACAAAAAAATATCAAGATAAGTGATAATAATTTAATATTGGATATATAAAAAGAATTCGTATGGATTTTGACGTAAGATTCTCATGTCATAAAAATGCATGCTTTCGTAAAAATTGAATCCAATTATTCAAGAATTCGTATATTGTAGTTAGATAGAAACTATCAAGTAGATTCTATTCTTTTGCTTTACGTTTTGATGTTAAAAAAGAACAGCCGACGTCGAATAATGTTAATAATGTTCAACTGCCGTCACTTTTCCCGCGTTTTCACAACAAACAAAAGAATGTGAAAAGAACAGGATCTAATTAATTATTATTAATTTAATAATATAACCTATATAAATGGTGAATATTGGACAATACACAAAATGAGTGGTCACTTTCCACACAAGAATCAAAATAGTAGTACTGTGTTGATGACGGCCGCACCACACAACCTTATTCTCATCATGTATTATCAACTTATTGTTAAAACTATCTAATTTATGACCAAAAGTAACGGAGTTTAATGTTATTTATCGTCAAAATATTACCATATTTGATCCCAACCAACCAATTCATTAATAGATAGAGATTCTTGAAATTCAAGGCAAGCATGCGCTAGCCTCCTAGGGTGTGTTTTAAGGTGATTTTTAATTACCAAAATATTAACATCTTTACTGATATGAACACAAACACAAATTATATATACTGTATATGCATAAAGCACGATAAGTTATCTTGTATATGTGTGATTGTTATTAATCCAAAATATTTTGAATTTTCAACCTACATTTTTAATAACCGGAACTAGCTTTAATGAAAACCTACAATATCTTGTATAATATACATGTAGGTTTTTTTCTCTTCCATACATAGAAGCATATAACTAAACTCAAAGTCTGATTAGGTTGATAATGATCAGAAACACTGGACTCAGACCAAATTCTAGCAAAAGCAAATTCATGATTACAAGTTTATAATCTATGGTCTTAAAATCAACAGACAAAATGTTCGTATCGTGTTTTTATATGAGAAAACTTTTATAATGAAAATTATGATAAATCTTTTTTTTATCATGAAAGGCCAGAAATTGACCAATGACACTTCGAAGGCCACATATCTCTACTTGTTAGGCTAAAGACAAACCAAACCTTTTCAATCGCCACAAAGCATTTAAAGAAAAGAAAATTAATATAAAATTTTAATCTCCCAATTCCGATTGTTCTGTATGAACAAACTAGCAAATTTAGGGCGATATGGTTTGTATATTACTTTTCTTTCATGTTCCATTAGTAAAGGAAATGTTAGAGAGCCCAAATTTAAAACAAGAAAATTTCAGATGTTACCAGCCCAGTCTCTCTACTAAACCCAACAGGCCTACACTAGATAAGATTTTTTCTTCGCTAAATATGACGTTTTTATGGGCTCAAATCATTTTTTTTTTCCATGTTTCATACGTTTTTTTCGGATATATAGTTTTTAGCCACCCTGATTTGTAAACTCTTAAGATATTTTATTATCCGATATGATCCCCAGTAACATAACAAAGTATTGTATTACGGTATAGTTGATATCGAAGCTGCGGTCTGTCTTTGAGCTTAATGTTCCCGTTTCGTTGAGCTTTGTCCAAAACAATTTTGGCAAGAAGGTTCCCTCTGGATTCCAGTGAGATTCTAAATTCTAAATTTAAATTTGGTTCTTGTTTCTAAATTTACGGGTTATTCATGATCTATTGTTGCAATTTGCTACATGTTTTTTATCGATGAAATAAGATGTTTTCGTTCAAAAATTAACAATCACATACTTCTTTATTATTTTTGATTAATGGATGCTTAGATAAATTTTACACTAATCACTAAAGAAAATGAAGAATTAGACGGGGGCACGTACACGTGCCATACCATGAAAGCTTGAAAAGTAAGTTTAATAAAGTACATGATAAGCGATTAAAAGCAAACATAGGTCAGAGGAATGTTGGTCTGATTAAATACTTACTAGCACGTACTTAATCATGCATGGTGCTCTCTGTCATTACTATTGCCAGGTATTAGCAACATATGCTAATTCTAAATAATGAGCATGATATTTAATCAACCAGCAAATATCTCAATCCCACGTCAAGTATTATGCTTGACTAAAAGTGGTATTATATAAGTCGTCCCATTTCGAAAATTATACAGATTTTTCAAAAAGACCTAATTAATGCATTAAATAAGAAAAACATAAGATTGTTTAAACTACAATATTTATAAAAAACAAAGCTACTATTTTTTTTAAGAAGTTTTGAAAATTAATTCTTAACATTTATCAACCTTTGAAATTTAATTCTGAACATTTATCAACCTCAATATAAGAATCTATCCAACATCAATTACAATGATAGTTCAGTAATTATTATTTTATTGGTTAAAGTTGCATATCAGTTTACATTAATTTGATATGTAAACTTTATGTTAGTGTGGATTTCGGCGAATAATCTGTCGATCTTAACCGATATTGGATTAGCGATATCAAATGAAAAGTTTTTAAAACATCGTGTTGCATAACCACAAAGAACAAAAACTGGATAGCAGTACATATATGTCCAAATATACTTTTCTTTTTATTCCGTTTGTGATTAAGTTATATTCAGTAATATAATGGTTATTACATTGCATGTTACATGTAACGACTAACGATCCTTGAAACTAATATAAGTTATATACTTGACAGTTTGTAAGATTAATCATTTCATAATATACTAATATCGATCCTTCACATGAACAGCTAATCGAAATCATTATGTACATGTTGTTGCCACTCGTCAATTTTCATTTAAAAAGACACAAATCAATCTCAATCTTCGCCTATAAAAACCGTAACACTCTCTCCTTATTCTTCACACAACACATCATAAGCTTGATAAAGAGAGAGTTTCTAGGGTTTTTCTTATATATTTTGATAAGACAAAATCTTATTAAACTTAACTTCTTTATCAATGGCTTATTCTAAGATTGCTATTCTCCTCATCTTCAATGTCATCTTCTTCACTTTGGTCAGCTCCACTTACGTTCCTTGCCCACCACCACCGTACAAGAAGCCCTCACCGTCGTCTCCTTACCCCACTTGTAAAAACGCTTTAAAACTTAAGGTATGTGCTAATGTCTTGGATTTGGTTAAGATTTCTCTACCATCATCCTCCAAATGTTGCAGCCTTATCAACGGTTTAGTTGATCTTGAGGCTGCGGTCTGTCTTTGCACTGCCCTAAAGGCTAACCTCCTCGGAATCAAGCTAAATGTTCCCATTTCGTTGAGTGCTATCCTAAACCATTGTGGCAAGAAGGTTCCATCTGGTTACAAATGTGCCTAGAGATCCCATTTTGTTATATTAATCATTTGATTCCTTTTACTGTATGATCAGAATTACATGTTCTACATTTTTCTCGTTGGAATCATTCCCTAATGTATTATTGTACTGTTTTCTGTCTTTTCTTTAAATTTTCTTATTATCTTTTCCAATTGTGTTTTTTTTTTTATCCATGAATGAGATAAGGTGTTTGTGTTCAAAAATAACAATCGCATTAATATTCTTTATTATTTTTGATTAATAGATGCTTATAGTTCTTAGATTTTATGTGCATCATAAAATCATACCATGGTACTTAAATTTGACCAAGTACATGAAATAAAATCGAACCTGAGAATGTTGGTCTAGTTAAATTTATATTGGAATTAAGCTTTCGTTTTTGAATCTCATGTATTCCATCTTTGTATTCCTCACTGATTTTAATAAAATTCAGATGATAAAAAAAAAAATCTATATCATGACGGACTTAATCATGGTATACTCTCAGTCACTGTCGACAGATATTAACAATTTAATTTTTAAATATGCTAATTCTAATAAAGAGCATGGTTTTTAATCATTGAATGAGACTCAACCAAGACTAAGGTGGTATTATATAAATTGTCCCTTTTCGATATGATATAAAATCATCAAAAAGAGCAAAGCACTGAATACGAAAAGCCAAAAAAGATGGTAACATTTTAGTCTTTATACCTATAAACTACAAGTGAGTAATTGTCCATATGACATGTGTCCTTTTTATGTTTTAAATAAAATTATTTATATTATTTTTTGTTATTAAATTACAAACTACAAAATAAAAAAAAATCCCTTTTTTTTTTTCCTTTTTTCACACGATCTTACCAAAGATAAGCGAAATTATTTATTTTTTGTAACACATATATTTTTTATATTTAATTTTTATATCAGTATTTTTATTTTTTACATGATCCTATTTTTTCTCTATCTAAAAATGCCATGATTTCTGAAACAGCTTCTTAAATCATAAAAATCATTTTGAACAATCATTTTCTTTCCTCTCTCTCCTCTCTTGCGTCTGGTTTTTCTTCTGTTCATCTGTGTTAAAAAATAACAGTTGCAATCGATAGAGGTGCAGACAATTCTCTTTATTTCAATTTTCATTGTCTCTAAATGTTTTCACCTAACATATATCAATGTATGATCCTCTTTGCAGGAAACAAATTGAAGATGGTGTCGGATTTATACTCATGTTTCCAAATTGAAGTTTCAAAAAAAAAATGGAAGATGAAGAGCTTTAAAATTCTTGAATATTCAACTTCTAAAGCCTATGTAAGTTATGAAAGCAAGTTTAATTATAATGTTATGTTAATCATATTCTCAGCGTTTGGTTATAATTTTTTGGATACTAACATTATAGGAATATATATCAAACTTGATTCTAACAAGTCAAATTCATTTTGAATAGAAAAATATATTTCGCGGCTTGATAAGTGATTCTTCTTACTTTTGAGTTTTAATCATCTTTGAATTTAATTTATGAGTTTATATGTATTTTATATATGTGGTTAATATGGTTAATCAATGAAAAATGTATATTCGTTTCCTTCTAATAAATCAAAATTATAAACTTATAATGTTAAAAAACAAAAATCAATATTATTTTGTACATGTAACTTTTAATTATGTATAGATATAACAGAAATTTAGTTTTGTTTTAAATTTAAGCAAATTAATCCCGTGCTCAACATGAGAGATAACACTAGCTTCAAATAAGCCAAAGTATTTTAAAAAGTCTTACCAAATAGAAAGTCAATATCGGAACCAGCTACGCTTTTCTGATTATTCAAAATTCGGCTAAACCGATAATCCGGTTCAGAAAAGAAAAGTCAAAATCTGAAAGGCAGGTATTTTAACTTTCCCTTTCTGAACCGGACTATCAGTTTAGTTAGATTTCGGATAAAACAGAAAAGCATAGCTAGTTCTGATATTGACTCAAAAGATTCTCAACCATTGCGGCAAAAAGGTTTTTATTTGGATTCTAGTATGTATAGAAATAGCACATTTTCAATTGAGATTCTAAATTATTAATTTAAATTTGGTTCTTGTTCTAAAATTTATGTATGTTTCTAGCATGATCTATTGTTGCATGTTTTTATCGATAAAATAAGGTGTTTTCGTTCAAAATTCAACAATCACATACTTCTTTTTGATTAATATGATGCTTATAATTTCTAGAATTTTATGTGCACTGTAGTACATGGGCGGATTTAGGAGTCTGTTTAGTTGGGGACACATACATATTTTTTTACTATAACTAAATTTGGATTAGATAAATCTTACCCTAATTAGTAAAGAAAATGAAGAATTAGACGGGGCACGTACACGTACGTGCCATAGTAGTCCTGGACATTCGGGTTTTTGGATCGAGTCGGATCGGGTTTTTTGGGTTCAGGTAGTTCGGGTAGAGATAGTTAGGACCCATTTAAGACCCGATTAAAATTCGGTTCGCTTCGGTTCGGATCTGCATCGGGTCGAGTCGGATTTTGAAAATTTGTGAAGAACCGAATAAGACCTGAAAGTTACTGATTTGGACCCTAATATCTGATTTGGACCCGAACTACCCGAGTAACCCAAAATTTTCTTCTTAATGCTTTTAATACCACATAATAGTCCTGGGCATCCGACCCAGATCCGCTGGACCCGAACCGATCCGACCCGAAAATATCGGTTCGGTTTGGTTTCGGTTATCACGAATAAACCGACTGGGTCTTGAGTAATATTTGTTTGGTTCCCGGTTCGGTTTGGGTAAAATCCGAGATCCGATCGGTTACCCGAACAAAACCACAAAAATATTTTTTTTTCTATACCTAATTAAAAAAAAAGCTTTAGCTGCCTTTATGGATTTCTCCACCTCCTCCTTCGTTTCTCAATTTTCTCCTTCGATTCTCTCCACCTCTCTCTCCTTCCTTATTCTCCTTCTTTCTTCTTCTTCTCCTCCGTCAAGAGAGACTCCACATGCTGATTTTGCTCCAACTGATCATCTTTAACTACCGATATTCTTTTCTCTCAAACAGCAACGTCGTCTTGTCGGAGCAAACTTGTGTTTTCCCCATAAATATGACGAATTTTGTGGGTTTCTAAGAAGATTCACCGACGAGATCTGGTTCACGATTTGGAAATCACATTTGGTGTTAACAAACTATGAGCTTTTGGAGTTGTATAACGGGTCAAGTCTATCATGTTGGGCCTTGTGGTTTTGTTGGAGAAGTCCAATTGGTTTGTTATGTGGTAGTCCTGGGCATTCGGGTTTTTGGATCGGGTCGGATCGGATTTTTTTCGGGTTCGGGTAATTCGGATAGAAATGGTTATGATCCATTTAAGACCTATTTAAGACCCGGTTAAAATTCAGATCGGTTCGGTTTGGATCTGCGTCGGGTGAGGTCGGATTTTGAAAATTTGTGAAAAACCGAATAAGACCCGAAAATTTCTGATTTGGACCCGAATATCTGATTTGGACCCGAACTACCTGATGGACCCAAAATTTTCTTCTTACTAATGCTTTTAATACCACATACAAACCAATTGGGCTTCTCCAACAAATCCACATGGCCCAACATGATAGACTTGACCCGTTATACAACTCCAAAAGCTCATAGTTTGTTAACACCAAATGTGATTTCCAAATCGTGAACCAGATCTCGTCGGTGAATCTTCTTAGAAACCCACAAAATTCGTCATAATTCTGGGAAAAGCCACAAGTTTGCTCCGACAAGACGACGTTGCTGTTTGAGAGAGAAGAATATCGGTAGTTAAAGATGATGAGGAGGAGCAAAATCAGCATGTGGAGTCTCTCTTGAAGGAGGAGAAGAAGAAGAAAGAAGGAGAATAAGGAAGGCGAGAGAGGTGGAGAAGATTGAGAATCGAAGGAGAAAATTGAGAAACGTAGAGGAGGTGGAGAAATCTATAAAGGCAGCTGCAGCTTTTTTTTTAATTAGGTATAGAAAAAAAAGAAATAGTTTTGTGATTTTGTTTGGATAACCGATCAGATTTCGGGTTTTATCCGAACCGAACTGGGAACCAAACTAATATTACTTAAGACCTAATCGGTTTATTGGTGATAACTGAAATTGAACGGATATTTTCGGGTCGGGTTGGTTCGGATCCATCGGGTCCAGGTCGGATGCCTAGGACTATGCCATACCATGAAAAGTAAATTTGACAAAGTACATAATAGGAACTAAAAACGAACATAGGTCAGATGAATTGAGGAAGGAATGTTGGTCTGATTAGATACTTATTAGCACGTACTTAATCATGGTGCTCTCTTGCATTATTGTTGCCAGATATTAACAACACATGCTAGTTCTAAATAATGATCATTATATTTAATCACTGAATGAGATTCAACCAGGAAATATCTCAATTCCACCGTCCCACGTCAAGTATGATGCCTGACTAAAAAAAGTGGTAATACTGTATATAAGTCCTCCGATTTCGGTGTAGATCTATTAAAAAAGACCTAATTAAAGCATTCAATACGAAAAGCCAAAAAGAAGAAAAGACATAATATCTGTTTAAACTAAAATATTTATAACTACTAATCTTTTTTAAAGTAGTTTTTTTAAATTAAATTCTGAGCATTTATCAACCTCATCAGTACAAGAATCTATGCAACATGAATACAATATAATGATCAGTAAATATTATTTTATTGGTTAAAGTTGCATATAGTTTTACACTTGATATGTAAACTTTATGTTAGTTTGGATTTCGGCAAATAATTTGTCGATCTTAACCGATATTCGATTGGCGATATCACATGAAAAGTCTTTAAAATAGCGTGTTGCATAACCACAAATAACAAAAACTAAATAAGTCCAAATATACTTTTCCTTTTATTCCTTCTGTGACTAAGTTATATTCACAAATAAAATGGTTATTGCATGTTACATGTAACGACTAACGATCCTTGAAACTAATATTAGATATATACTTGACAGTTTGTAAGATCAATAATTTCATAATATAATGATATCAATCCC